CACACACACACACACACACACACACACACACACACACACACACACACACACACACACAAATGTCCTTGATAGGCTTCTAAATACCTTCCTACAACACTTTTTTGCCCTTTATTCTTTCTTATGACTTCTTCAATATGTTGTTCTATCTTTCTCATGTTTCCAGGGTAATAAGGATACTATTCACTTTCTAGGAAGACAGTAATGGTTCTACTGTGTTCTCCATTAATCCCTGCCCCCGCTGACTTCTAGTTGGAAGATCATATGAAAGAGTTTGATACCACTTCAAAACACACCTCACAAAAGCATAGCGCTTATCTTTTCAGGTCCACTATCACCGTTCTTAAATTGCAAAACCGTGGTATCTCATTATACTCCTGGGCAGATTGATGACTGATATCATATGTCTAGTGTTAGAAATGAAGAGTCCTGAGGTACCGAGATCTTTGATTTCAGGCGTTCCTGATTCTATTTTTTCAAGGTTTTTATTGATTTGTTGTTTGCGTTGTAAACTTAAAGACACATAAGCCTCGCTGATCTGCAGCTCGACACATTGTTTCTGCAGAGACTGAAGCACCCAATTAATCTTGTCCTGGCTTCACCTCTGGTTCAATGAAGGATGCGAGGAAGAGGTTTTTTTGTTTAAGTTTCTGCTTGGCAAGCCATAATGATCATAATAATCAAGATAATGCAGAACTACTAAAGGTTTTATCTTTATCTGTTTTCTGCGGTGCTGCAGTACAAATTCATCCATATACATCATAGTTCAGTAACAGACGGACCGCGGTCCGGATCCGGACCCAGACGCCGACCTATACGGACCCAGACCTATAATTAGGGGTGCACGTAACTTGTACGCAGGTCCGCATGCGCGTAAAAAATCGTCACTTTTGTCACTGCGCGCCTTTGCGTATCTGATAGGTCATCAAAAACAAAACACATATTTAGTCTACACGTGTTTCTTGTCAACAGTCAGTGGAGTAAACTATTAGACATGTCTAAAAAACAAAAATACATTAAGCAGCCTCTTTGGCGTTTTGCTCCCTGCAAAAAATCTTCGGACGTTCTTGGACTGATTGAACTGGAGCTGGCCGAACCGCACAGGTCATAACCGACGGAGCTGTGAAGCTTTACAGGAGGAAGAGGCTTAGATCACTGGACGACAGAGTTGGTCGCCGTGTGCACAGACAGGGCTGCTGTTAACGTCGGTATGAACAACATAATTGTACCAAAACTACGCCAACTGGCTGCGAGGGAGACTCCCCTGTGCACACTCTTTGCCCCGCGCACACACTGGAGAACTGCGCCAAATCAGCTGATCACAACGTTCCTTAATGTGAGACTTTTAATTGATCTGTGGTCAAGCTGCTGCAGTTTTATTTACAACAAGTTGGAGCAAAACACACAGCTGCAAACTTACTCAGGGTGTTAATGGAAGAGTTTGAAATCAGACAGAAGTGGAAGAAGTACTCAGCTCTTGTGTAGGATTACTCTGTTACAGTAAAAGTCCAGCATTCACAACGTGACTCAAGTAAAAGTAGAAGTACTCAGATCTTGTACTTGAGTACAAGTAGAAGTCCCAGAGTGTAGGAATACTCTGTTGTAAGTAAAGTCCTGCATTCAAAATGTCCCTCAAGTAAAAGTTGAAAAGTATTATCATCAAAATATAGTTAGACTGTTGCATATCCACAGTATTTGACTGTATATATGCATAGTTCAATGTTAATTGACAAATACATATTGTTGTTTTTGAATTGTACTTTCTTTATTTGATTGGCAGTCAGTTGTTGATTACATGCAGACGTTGATACAGCTACAGGCTACTTCAATATCAAACTAATTCATAAAGCAAGTTAGACATTTTGATGTTCCGGACCTTTGCATGGGGAGATTTTCTCTAAATGGACCTCGTTGAATACCCTGATATACATGATGGCTGATGTTTACACCATACAGATGAGAATAAAACATGTATTCTTAGTCCTAGCTGCAGTGTATATTAGGGTTGTGCATCTTCACTGGTCTCACGATTCGATTAAGATTATCCTGTCAACGATTCGATATCACGATGCATAACAATGCGTTGCTTCCTCAATTTTCTATATTAACGCACATGGCTTCTTAGCAACGCATTGTTATGCATCGTGATATCGAATCGTTGACAGGATAATCTTAATCGAATCGTGAGNGATCGATAGATTGAAAGATATACGACTCGTATGGACATTGTTTTATCGTCTGGAACACGCGTCCGAACAAAGTTCTCCCATTCCCATCCCTCAGTGGCTTAAGTATAGATTAGGTTAAAAAGTCACTACAGATATCAATTGTTATTTGTCACAGAAAATTGAATGTTAAAATCATTGTATAGATTTACAAAACTGATTTTTGGTCATCTACCTTTGGATGATTTCAAAATTGTAATTAATAGACATCACTGGAAATCCTGAGTTTAAATCCAAGTTTATTTATATAGCACCTTTCAACACAAGGTCATTCAAAGTGCTTCTGATTGATTTATGACGCTGTACTGACCTGTATCTCCACTTGGTATACAGGCTCCATGAGTCTTGGCTGAGCAGTGAGCTGGCAGGCGTACAGCACCCTACGAGCTGTGGGAATGATCTGTCCTCCACCGCGGTGGATGGCGTCTGCGTGCAGCGTCACGTCGTGAATGTCAAAGCGAACGGCGCGCATATTCTCCTCACATAGAGCACCCTGAATGATGAAGACAGAACATTATCACCATTGCACCAGAACAGTGTACTATCTGATTACACATAACTATTGAATTATTTTCAAAGTATTCGAAGTAAACTGCTGCCTACTTCTTTAGATGCCCACTGGAAACCAGCCACGACGCTGTCCTTGATCTCGTTGAGGTACTGAACGCCCTTCGTCACGTCTACCAGCAGGTTGGCCCCGCTGCCATCTGGACCGAAGCACCAGATCTTCCTGGCCTCGCTCACCTCCCATTCGTACTTGTCTGTGAGGTAACGTGCACGGGCCTTGAGCTCCTGCCGGTGGGTGACCTCTCCCTTCTCGATGTCGTCAGCCAGGCCGTCGGGGAAAGGGCGGGCCTTCATGAAGAGGCGATTGTGCTTGTTGGGGGACTTGGACAAACACATCTGCTCTGACTCTTCTGACACCGTCTCTCTGTAAGACACCACTGGGTCTGATTTCTGGAAGATGAAAGAAAAGGCAGCAAACCTTGAGAGTTTGAGTGGTAGTGCAACACATAAGGAGTATTTCTGCAATAATGATTATTGTTATTCTTAATTTGGGTCATATGTCCCGAGCATTGCTTTTACTTTTGTTAACTGTCTTCCAATATAGCTTACTATACACATTCACAAAGCTTTGTACAGCTTCAGTATCTGTTACATACACTGAACTCTACACAGGGGTTTATTCATATATAATTCATAACCCGATTTCTTCCTAAAAAGATGGCAAAAATTGATTTCATTATTGCTGTTTACAATATTTAGGGATTTTTGGGGTACTACAGAGAGACACTAATATTCCCTACTTAAAAATGTATGTCAAGAAAATGAACATTTTGAACATGGCACTATCCAATATTTAGGTATCGGTCCTAAAACAATAAGCTGATTAGTACATTTGTATATTTAAAAACACATTTCCAGAAAGCTTGTAATACAAAAACGTATTTTTTTTTAATATAAGCAATCAACTTGGGAACTTTCATGGTTATATCTATTAGTTGAACCTTTTTACTCTATTTCACCTTTTTACTCTATTCTCCTTATTAGAAAAACTACTCTTCGAGTCTCACCTTCAGAGGTATGCCGGCATGATCTTCCTCCAGGTCCTTCAGGCAGATCTCCAGGTGCAGCTCCCCCGCCCCGGCGATGATGTGCTCCCCGGACTCCTCGATGATGCACTGCACCATGGGGTCAGACTTGGCCAGACGCTTCAGTCCCTCCACCAGCTTGGGCAGGTCAGCGGGGTTCTTGGCCTCTACAGCTACTCTGACCACAGGACTCACACTGAACTTCATCACCCTCATGTTGTGGGCCTGCATACACAACCATAAAAAGGTTTTGTTGTTATAGGAAGAATAAGGCAGACAGCAACTAATAACAGTAAATGAAGGGGGGGGGGGAATAAATACAGTACTTGTTCATAGGTGGTAATAGTCCCTGTTTTAATCAGGTACTGGTCTACTCCAACCAGACCCACGATGTTGCCACATGGCACATCTTCAATGGGCTCCACATAACGGCCCATCATCAGAATGGTCCTGGAGGGAAAGAAAGACAAGGTTTAAAAAGGTTTCCGATAAATTCATGAAAACAGAAAAGAAACATGAAATGATTTGTATTTATCCCATGTTTCTATGTATTGGTTTGCACATCAACATGCTCACCTCTGGATGGGTTTGATGAAAAGGTCTTCCTTCTTGCCAGGACTGAAGTTTGGCCCCATGATACGCACTTTCAGCCCGGTGGACACAGTGCCAGAGAACACACGGCCGAAGGCGTAGAAACGGCCCTTGTCAGTGGTTGGAACCATCTTGGAAATGTACATCATCAGAGGAGCCTTAGAGTCGCAGTTTTTAATACCTGAGAGGACAGCAGAAATATTAAGCCATAAATAAAGTATAGCCAAAATAAAGATAAAAAATTAGGTTATAATTTTACAAAACCTAATAATCTGAAAACATATTATTCCACTGACCCATGGCAGCTTCGTCGTCCCCAGGCCCCTCGTACAGCAGCTCACAGCGGTACCTCTGTGCAGTGACGGGCGAGGGCAGGTGGATGGTGATCATCTGCAGCAGGGCTTCTCCGGCCGGCAGCCAGCGACGCATCACAGCCTTCAGCAGGGGCTTCCCCTCTTTCTCCTTGTCATCAGAGTCCAGTTTGACGTCCAGCTTCTCAATTAGTTTGGCTGTCTCGTCCTTCTTGAAATTCATGATGGCATCAAAGACCTACGAGGGCAAAAAGAAGGCATTAAATTGGAGCCAAAAGTTAGCCCCTTCAATGTATCGCCTCTAAGTCATCACCCTTAAGTAGGGATGGTTATCGTTAAGGTTTTAACGGCACTACTACTTTTATCGATACCGCTTATCGATCCGGTCCTTTAACAGTACTTTTGTTGGTTCTTTTGAGAAAAAAAAGGTAAATTAACTAAACAAATTGCAAATAAAGTGAACTTACAGAACTGTAAAAGACAAATAAAAAAACAAGTATTTACTGCAAAAATACAGTGGTACAGGGCAACACAGATGGGGCATACAGGTATTGCTGCAAAAGGCCTAACGGTTCTTCTGGAGGAAGATTGAGGTTGTGGTGGAACATTAAGGGACATAATGTGTTGTTGTTTAGACAAATTGCTCGTGTTACCGCCCTTACATGCTAAATTCTTATTGCACTTTTGGCAATGAGCATTGTCCACATCGAGAAGAGTAAAGTTGAACCACACCTTGGAGCGCTTAGTTCTCTCCGCCATCTCTGCCGTGTGTGTGTGTGTGTGTGTGTGTGTGTGTGTGTGTGTGTGTGTGTTGCATGCATGTAGCAGCCGTGTGTAGGGATGGGTACCGAGCCCCGGTATTAAACGGGCCCCGGGGCGGAATTATTAAAGACCGTGGTACCGTTAAGCTCCAACGTTAACGGTCTTTTTATCGGTACTGGAGACATGTAAAAAATATATGTATTATTGCTACACAAACATTATATTGCAGTTTTAGTGTTGCCAACTCCGTTTCTAATATGCAAAAAGCGTGCAAAATGCGTGTTTTTAGTATTTTCAATCTTTCCAACCCAGACGAGAGATCTCTCTCCCCCGCCTGCTTGCGAGGGGGCGGGGCAGTTTAAACACACGCAGCTGCTACATGCAGCAACACACACACACGGACGACGCTGAAGTTGGCGGAGAGAACGCGCTCCGAGGTGTGGCTAAACTTTACCCGTCTCGATGTGGACAATCCTCGTTACCAAAAGTGCAAT